TCATTTTGATTAATATTCTGTATAGATTGATTGGTTAATGTTGTGTTATTCCTGTTCCTGTTGTTGTTTTTGTCGTCGTCGACGTCGCCATTGTTGTTTTTTTGATAATTTTAACTTATTCATTTAATATTGAATATTGATTATTTTGTTCATAATTAATGCATCAAGATGAGCACGTAATGCACGTTCAGCAACATACGACTATCTAATGTTAAACGATTAGCATGTAATTCTTTTCAAGTAAATATCACGAATTTTAAGATCAGCACATTCTTCTTTAATACAACATAATTCCTAAATAAATCAACAAATTAATCAATATTATTTCATTATAAAATGAAAACAATTTTAAATATATGAAATAATGGATATCCGACCGATGTTGCTAAGTTGATATGGTGATCGAGCTTGTCTATTGTGATGAATCAATCGAGTTATACTGATTGGATCAATTGTTCCACAATGTATTACCATGCCAGACAAGTCGGTTAAAGAGCGTTAAAACTAAAAACAACAAACTCAAGGTCCGAAGGCGAACTTGTACTACTGGCTGTACAGAGGTATGATGGTAGTAAGATGTTTCCCTCATACAACCAGCATAACAGCGATGCTGCCTTCCCACAAAGGGAGAGTGAGGTCAGAAAAGGTGGACTCTAAAAATGCACATATCACCTTATCCCATGGATATCAATCTCCGGCGGAAAGGTTTCAATAAGTACGGAGCTAACACGAAAATTACTCACAAAAAGGGTGTGTGTGACCGACCTCAAGCAGTTGTACTTTGAGCACTTCGGTCACATTCTCAGATAAATAAGACCATCGTCTAGTCCAATTTGCTTTTCAAGTACCTCCAGAAGAACTCTTCCATGGTGTGGGCAACTGGAAAGTGATAACTGCCCTTTCATTGAAATCATGAACTGATCAATGCTAGACCATCATTCGAAACCTGGAAGCACTGGATAGTCATTTCGTATTAGTACGGGACTCCTCAGAAGTGAGTACCCACCATACCGTTCATGGAAATCGAACTCAAAACCTTCGGTTCCGCGTGCGAATGCCTAATATCTAGATCACTGAGCCGGGATCCAACAGTATTTATGCCTAACTTCAACCAATCGACAATATCGCACGATCATCTTCTATTGTCTTCGTTGGGCAACTACTTCACACTTGGAATTGTTTAGCCCCACTAATGACGGCTTCTCATTTGAACTTCGAGAATTATCTCGCAAAGCTAGTAACCAATGAGCGCACGATAAGTGTCCAGGTTTTCAGTGGTGATCTAACATTGATCGGTTCAAGATTTCAATGACATCTACCTATAGATAAAATCCAAATGGTATTAGGACAGTGTTCAAAGCTTCTTCTTGCTGAATTCCTTCAGTAACTTAATATTGTCAAGATGAAAACACTACGAGTGAAACATTTTGAATGTCTGATGCAAGAGACATAAAAAAAGTACCAATATACACTCATATAAAATCCAAATTGATATAAATTATACACAGATTGTTTATAATGGATTATGAGTTATGTGTCATCGGCTTGTCAAAATCTGAAGATTATATTACAGGAAGCATAAGTATCATACTGTAGTATCATTGATCGACCATTGTAATATTTATCTACTCAATTAAATTGTAATTTGGCCACTAGTCTAATTAACTCGACGGTACAGTACAGTTTGTTTTGGAGTTAATTAGTAAGAAATCTCGGATCTAGGTTTCATGCTAGTTGATATTCATCAGCTAGGCGTACCTACAGTCCTAAAGGGACTTATACTCATGTCAATAAAATCGGATCAACGATAGAAACTAGACAAACATGACATAGGTTGATCCTCAATGGCCGATAGTTATGAATATATTAGTGGTACAGGTTATTTGTAGCTAAAAAAGCTTAGTATTAACGTCTGTGACTGTGAATGAGTAGTGAGATTCCGAATCCAACAGGGAGCATTAGTTTCCTTAAGATTTCCAAGTGCCAGACATCGTGAAACCTAAGGTAACTAGAATTTTCTGATGACTAATTCTAATAATCTAACACTGGAACTATAATATCATCGAAAATATTAAGTTACATATTTATTATTCAATGTATATAACCCATGTATGAGTTTAGTCCCAACTTCTGAGTATAATGTATTGTTGTTATGATGAAAACATTTATTACAACTCATTACTTAAGTAACGGGTATTTCTCACGTACTGACAGATTCATGGATCATTTATCACTACCATTGTAAACATGATTAAGATAAGTTTGTAAACACTGAATAATGGATAGTATGTAACAACAGATATCAGCTAATGAGGTGATTATTAAACAAGAATATATAGTAAATACATTAAAGAATAGTAACTGAACACTTTACTAAGTTACTATAAACCATCGTAAACAATGGTTGGAGGCTCTGGGTGACATGACTCAGAATCGATCACAATGGTGTAGGTTTATATACTCTCTGTCTTCCCTTAAACTATGAGATTAAAATCGCTTCATATCTTTCTTTCTACGTACTAATTCTTTCTTCCCGTATTATATCATTATATGCAATCTTTCGTTTATATATTACCACCATTGAATTAACTACTATGAATCCGGTGTTCATCTTGTTGTGTTAATGAGGTATGGCAACTTGGACCGATGCATATATGTGCCTGGTCTCACGTCGTAGCTGACTGACTGACTGAATCATTTGCACATCATCCATCAGTTGTGTCTTACAAAATTTAAAGTTCCTTCATTCTTGTTGTTATTACAATTACTGTTTGTTTACATTCCTGTTCTCTTCAATTCGGCCTTCTCAATCTTCTGCCGCTAGACATTTGTGCTACATACTACTTAGATCTGTAAACATAAGCAGGACAAATCACACTACTACTATTGTAGTGAACGATAAAACAAGTGAGGACAGTCAAATGTATTTGAATACAAAATTACAGAATCTCTTAGTCAAATCTGAGAACTATACAGTGAATACTTCATTTGCAAAATGACCATCAATCGTCTCAGACTTCTTTGTTCTTTCATTTCCAAATCAATCATTCTTTGTTCTCGTTCTCTTTTCTTCGATCTTCTTAACCTTCTACCTCCAGACATTTCATTTTCGATTGATGATACATACTACTTATATATGTTGACATCAGTAGTACACATCACACTATTACTATTTATGATAATATTCGTAAATTGTCGAAGCATTTTAGCATAAATCAATATTTTTTCTGTCTCACAATTTGTAACTTTAAATTTATTAGACTTAACAAGTAGTCTTTATCAATAGACTGTAATAAGTGTAGAACAATAATGTCAATGTATATTGAATCTTTGTTCCATTCAAATAAAATGTAAATTAGCTACATTTTCATCTGGTTAGAATCGTTACCACTGGTACAAAGGTACAATGTAATGTCAGTTATAAATAAATAGTTATACAAGAGAAGGGTTTTGTGGATATTGTAATAATTTAATAGTTGAATTCATGAACCAATTGAAGCTAGACCACCATGGAGAACCTGGAAGCACTGAACAGGCATTTCGTGAACAGTGGAGCAGTTTTGTGGATAGATTGAAGTTAGATATCAACACCGTTAGATGCCATCAATTTCAATGGTCTAAAAGTCAAGAGTTCTAGTGTGAAGCAATAACCAGTGGAGTTCAACTGGGTCTGTTATGAGATAGTAACTCATTGAAGACAATGATAGATGTGTTGCTCAATTTCGTGGATTAATTGAAATTGGACATTAACACTGTTGGATGCCAGCAAGTTCAGTGGTCTAAAAGTTAAGTATTCGCGCACGAGACTGATAGGTCCTCGGTACGAATTTCACGAGACGAGATCGTGGATGCTCACTGCTGAAGAGTCCCAGGCTAGGACGAAACGGTCTTCCAGTAATACCATGATGGTCTAGCTTCAATTGACCTATGAATTCAACTATTAAAGTTTAGAATTAATCAAATTTCTCTCAAAATTAATCAAAGAAATCAAATCTAACTAAAAGGATAAATGATTGCTAGAAAGGAGAAGAAAAACAAATGAATACAATACATACTACTTACTTGTAATAGAACTGAATTTTCCAAAAATACAGCCAATGGTAATTTACGTAATGAATTCATTGTAATCGACTATTTGAGGACAATGGTAATACGAAGGAGGAGAGAGAGAAAAAAAAGAGAAATATAGTAAAACAGAATAGAAAAAGGAAATATAGACAGAAAATCAATAAAAGGGAACAAGCATAAAATCGATTTTTTGGAAGTAAACAACAAAAAAAAACAGACAAAAAGATAATCTGTTTAAGATAATCACTAAGGTAATTGATTATTATTGTAAATTGATTAATCGATAAATAATAGTAGTAGTAGTAGTAGTCAAAATCATGTTTATCTAATCTATTGAATCAGTCAAGAATAAAGTAGAGTCTGGTACATATTATAATGCATTAAGTCCTATGATCAAATACTTTTAATTGTAGAGATCATGAGTCAATTGAAGCTAGACCATCATGGAAAACCTGGAAGTACAGAACGGCCGTTTCGTCCTATTGTAGGACTCTTCAACAGTGTGCATCCATGATCCCGCCTTATGACATTTGAACTCAGGATCTATCGGTCTCGCGTTCGAACACTTAATCTCTAGACCATTGAATTTGCCGACATCCAACAGTGTTAATGTCTAACTTCACATAGCTTTAACCTACTTATATCTTCTACTTTCATAGAACATACTTCATAGTGAAAGAGTAACATAAAAAGGACTGATGAGTAGTATACTAATTAACCCTCTTGGTTAACAGATGAATATTTCAAAAATGTTATAGATAATGGAAGTTAACAAAAAATCAAATGACCATTCTGAATCTATGTCAAGATTTATTTAGACACCAATTCATTAAGACTGATGAGAATTAAAAAATAGGTAGAGTAAACTACGTATTCAACAATGTAAAAATCTATGTCAATCTAGGCAATGATGTACGGTAATCCTGAAGCAACATTTTTAATTTAGTAGGAGGAAAACTCGTCCTCAACATATTTGTATTATTCATCAAAGCGTTCAGTAGACACTGTATTTTGTCAGAATATTTATCAAATAGGATTGTATCATTTGCGACAAATGATCTTTCATGAAGAAGATCAAAACTTGAAAAGTTAGATAAATAATCTGTGACTTCTAAGATTATATCTATGACGATATCAAGTAGAAATGTAGATAATAGGCAACTCTGACTAACATTGATTGAAGGTGACAATTCCGAAAATAGTTTGCCATAATCTCTAACTTGACTTTTAGTGTTTTTAGTGATCTTGAGTGCTGTTAGAGGTTGTCCACATCGTGGGGGGGGTTCTCGGGGCACTTGAAAGAGCAATTAGGTTGGAGTAGGCTTTAGTGACCTAATCGCGTGACCGAAGTGCTCAAAGGACAACTGATTGAGGTCGGTCAATGCAACTGTGATTAGTCACAATATTATACCATTGTCCTTGTCCTACTTTCTGTTTGTCTCTCTGTGTGCATTAACTTTTCATGTTTCAACGAATTCATTAAAAATCAACAGTCAATGTTTCAGTCATTCATGAAGTTATTCGTGACCTTGAGTAACTAAGTGGTAACATCTCCATTGAATAATATCTAACTCAAATCCTACACTGGGTATTAGTCTGCCAAAAATTATAGGTTTGGTTTATTAACAATTATCACATAACATAAATCTTAGGTTTAGGATATTTTTCAAACTAATTTCAATTAACTGACAAAATATAGACCATACCTATTCATATAAATTAAATTGAAAATTATGAAACTCTAGAGTTTTACACATTTAACTACTACCCCTAATTCAGGGTCTAAAAAGTCGGAAAAATGAAAATTTCGCAAATGCGATAAAAATGATCTTGGTGGTCTAGTTATAGTATTACGATACCAGACAATGGGTTTTAAGCGTTCTTCAAGCCCTAACGCTTCAGGCTGAGCTATTTTGTTTACTACCCTACATATGTGTTGTATGCGGTATAAGCTATATGGCTATGTAGAGCTGAAGGTCTCATATGAGGCTGGAGATTCGCCATTGGTATTGTGGATGGCTCGGCATTGATTTGACAAGTTTTGCTGACTGTTCATGTAAAAAATTGATTTGCTGGTTAACCGATTTCGTTCATACTGGTGGTTGCTTTTCAGTGTTCTCAAGGGCCATTGTCATTCGGACATTGTAAGGCATGTTGCCATTGCTAACATTATTGAGTTTGACTGTCGTGTAAGCGGAATAGGTCAAATTTGGCCTGTTCGTGATGTGTATAATTGATTTACGCGATTATTGATCGGAATAACTATACATACGATGTGAACGTGTATATGAATGGTGCGAATGGTCCACCAGGGTGCTTGGTATCTGGGTGGTTGCGCCACAGAATTGAGCTGTACTATTCAGATTGTAGCGTTAAAGCCTATACGATGTCTGGTTCTCCTGTGAAGCGGGATTGAGCTGCACTGCTCGCTTTATAAAATTTAAGCCTGGGCGGTGTCTGGCTCTCCTGTCAAACGGGATTGAGCTGTACTGTTTGGGCTGTCACGCGAAAGTCTGGATGGTGTCCGGTTCTCCTGAAAACCAATATAAAATTACCCTGGCCCACAAGGGTATATTATATAACTAATATCTGATTGAAAATGATAGTTTATTATTGATATAAATTCCACAAATATCTACTTTACTCTAACTAGTCTGATATAATAGTATCCATGGTCACATAATATTAATAAAAGGTGTAACTAAAATAGAAAAGGTCTGTATATCAAATAACATTTGCATAAAAAACCATAATAACTTCATGGATAACGCGATAGCGTTTAAAGCGAATAGTACTGGTTTCGAGTCTCAAAGTGATCATCAACTCTGAGATGCAGATACATCCAGCTGACGAGTCCCAAATAGGGTGAAACGCGCGTCAAACGGGATTCCACTAATAGCTACTATCCATCCATGGTTATAAAACCATATTAAATTAATGATATGGAATTATTCATATCTGTCAATTATGATGAGATGAAAACAAGTTTTCGTCAATTATTTTTTTAATTAAAATATCCTTTCATTGATATAATCAAACTTTATCAGCTAGACACAAGAGAATATATTGGTTAATTATGCAGTTGCCGAAGATGTTCAGAAATGAAGTGAAAAGCATTAGATTCGAGCCCTGTTGTGGACATCAACACCGGATGCCCCCAAATGCCCTGGTACGGCCGAGAGTAGGGAGAGTCCGCTCTCCCTCTCCAAATGCCCTCACATGACTTCGTGTATACAACCACTAACAGCGAAGTCCGACTCACAGCTTTCTCGCACCACCAGTGTTGTTTACGAAATCGAGAGGATGAAAAGCGAATATCCGACACTTCATCCAGATTCGGCAGCGCACGACGCAACAACCTGGTAAGCTCCACAGCCAGCAACGGGGGGTCACAACCGACCGACAACCCCGCCAACCGGAACTTCTGTAGTGCCTCCTCCCTGTCCGCTGGGCTGTCGAGCTTTGCCACCAACCGCTGCGTGACTGTCCCTCATGTCGTCTTTCCGCCAGCAACGTCCAAGCTGTCATACACAGCCTTTGTCCTGCCTCCTAGCAGCGTCCCCAGCACCACCATCTTTGCCTTCGGCTCGTTCACTACCACCAGCTTCGCCACGGCCTCAAACACCTTCAGGATGCCCACCACATCTCCGTCCTCGTATTCCTTCGGCCATGGAGTCTCCGTCCTTAGTGGAGCCAGCCACACCAAACTGAGTGAAGGAGAACACAGGTGAGGATAACTGGAACATTACAGTTACTTGATAAAATAGAAAAACCATACTATAATACCTCATTTGCAAAATGTTCAATAATTGCCTCAGACTTCATTGTTCTTGGATTTCTATACTAATTGCTTTTTATTCCCGTTCTTCCTTTCTTGATCTTCCCAATCTTCCTGACTCGCGTTATATACTACTTATGTCAATATAAGTAGCAAGCACCACAACCGGATTAGCGGACACGGATGATCTACCTAGATGAGTCGGAAAACTCTCATTCTAAACCAACGGTACACATGGGCTCCAGGATCCTAAGGAAACAAATAGCGTATGAACCCATTATTGTTCACCTGCTACCATAGAACTGCATCTCCTGACGTTCCTCCACTCCCTTGTGGATCAGACCATTAAGTCAAAGGCTTGGGGTGTGTCCTCTTAAGAAAACCGCTTGCTTCGGTTTGGGCACCCGGGAAGTATTACAGCCCACATGCAAATCAAGTGACTTGTATGGAACATATGTATTCGGTGCCCTTTTGTAACAATATTTATGTGTTCAAATCAGTAAATTGTCCAAATATATCTAGCTGAGGAATCTCAAATAGAGTGAAAAGAGAGTCTTAGATTTTAATACTAGTCATAAACGATTGATTCTATAAAAGATGTTGAATTATTATTTGGATAAAGAATTGAGATTTTATTCAATTTGAAGCAAGTTTATTTCATAAATTAATTTCGATTGAAGAAAACATTGAAAGCTAAAATGCATCGAATGTCAGTTTTATCTTAGGTTAAAACTATTCAACAATGATCATATTGACAGATTTAAGTAGTATCATTTTATCACGAAAGTTATCATCTTATAATTAATGATGAATTTCTCAGATGTTCCAGTTAGAAACTATATTCTAGTGAAATTCTACTCATTGCTTTCAAGCTGAGATATATTTTCGAAATTGAATGAATGAAAAGTGAGCTACCAGTTCTGATACTCCATTTGTGAATACAAAGGAACCAATTAGAAGAATTAGAAAACTATTGTTGTACAGAACTCCATGACCCTATAGAAATGGGTGATGCATGAATCTGTTTAAGTTACCGACTATCACTTCACTGTCTTGTGGATTAGAACTTTAGAGGATTTCATCTTTAAAAAAAACCCATTTACTTCATCCTGAGAGTTCAGGATATATCTTAGTCTATACCTATATAGGAGGGTGAAACTGTTGTCAAGTACTAACATCAGTTTACTAATTTCTTTGCATAGAAAAGGCCATTGGCTTAAAGCATTTAAATTTATTAGTTGTGTTATATTTTTTTTATCAGAAGGGGTTTTGTGGAGAATTTATTAATTTAAATCGTTGAAATCATGAGTCAATTGAAGCTAGACCACTATGAAAAAACTGGTATCTCCACAAAACGCATTCTGATAATAAACATCTGTTCACTAGTGACTGACTTCAAGAGACACTCCTGGAGTTCTAGTGGGAAGCTGTGACCAGTGGAGTTCAACCAAGTCTGTTGTGAGATATCAACTCAATGAAGACAATGGTGATGGTGGCATAGTTACTTGGATTGTTTGAAATTAGACATTAACATTGTTCGATGCCGGCTCAGTGGTTTAATGGTTAGGCGCTCGCGCGCGAGATTGATCTTGCGAGGTGGGATCGTGGATGCGCACTGCTGATGAGTCCCATACCAGGAAGAAACGGTCGTTCAGTGCTTCCAGGTTTTCCATTGTGGTCTAGCTTCAATTGACTTATGATTTCAACTATTAAAATTATTTTTTTTTAACCAACCGATAGCTTGTGTTCTTTTTCTGATTACATTCATTCCCTTTATATTGTTTACCCTTAGAAAAAGTCTACACAGACACGCACACACACACTCATGTTTCATAAATCAGTTTGATAAATACAAACAACCTTGACCTGAAGTGATGTCAGACCTATTTGTTCATTATTCATACACTTGTTGATAAAGGTTAAGAATTTATGAAGAAAAAAGAAAAGATCCTTAATGTATATTTTCATTACTAATGTACACTATATATATTTACTATGAATGAACAAAGATAGTATATTATTAGTAGTATAGGCAAAGAACGAATAATCATGTTGCTACCGGCTTCATTTACATATGTTATTGTATGTGTATAGATGTGAAGATGAAAACAGTTGAAATACATTTCACTTAGTAATAGGGATTAGAAACTTAAAATAGAATAAAGAGAACCACCTGCTGTTCATTCAAGTTTCATGTTATAAGTATACAATTGTATTGTGTACTAGTGTATTATAGGTATCTCTATGTATATTTCTACATATAGCAATATGACTGTAACCACCTGCCTGCTCCCCTGTATAAACTATTAATACAATCATATTAAAAGTAAATATTATCATAGAGAATCAATAGTAATCTATAGTTGCCTATTACATTGTTTATGTTATAATGTACATGTGTAAAGTTAGATAAGGAATAATTTAAAGCGCCAAGATGATTTATTGTGTATACATTATACAATATAAAGTTATTACATTTGAAAATAGTTAATTAATATAAAAATAAATGAAAATAGAATTTAATTTCTATGCAGAAAATAGGAAAGTTAATCGAAAAATATTACGATAGAATGTTATAATAACTGCATTCACGCCGTTGTTGCTACGTTGACGTGGTGGTCGGGCTTGTCTATCGTGATGAAGCAAATGAGCTATACTGGATGAAACATACCTTCCTCAAGGTCCTATCGTGCCAGACAGACCGGTTGAAGAGCGGAAAGACTAAAAGCAACAAACCCAAGGTCTGAAAGTAAAGTCGTACTGCTGACTGTACAGAGATGTGGTGGCAGTAATGTGTTTCCTTCAAACAACCAGCATAACAGCGATGATGCCTTCCCACAAGAAGGGGTGGGGTTAGAAAATGTCGACCTAAAAATGTACATCTCGCCTTATCCCACGGATATCCGTCTCCGGCGGTAAGGTTTCAACAGGTATGGAACCAACACGAAAACTACTCACAAAAAGGTCGTGTGTGACCGACCTCGAGCACTTGTCCCTTGGGCACTGTGGTCACGCTCTCAGGTCACTAAAACCATCTTTAATCCAATTTCCTTTCCAGGTACCTCCAGAAGAACCCTTCCGAGGTGTGAGCGACCAGGAAGTGCTAACCGCCCTCATGCCTTTAACAACATTCAAGACCATTGTATGATTACACAGTTTACATAAAATCATTTTATAATCATGCACCTTAAATTTATACTCTATATTAGACATAAGATGATGAGTCGATTAAAGTTAGACATTAACACCGTTGGACGTCGGATCAGTGGTTTAGAGGTTAAGCGTTCGCTCGCGAAGCCGAAGGTCCTGGGCTCGAGTAGTGGATGTGCACTGTTAAAGAGTCCTATACTAGGATGAAACGACCGTTCAGTGCTCACAGATTTTCAACAGTGGTCTAGCTTAGATCGACTGGTGAACTTCACTGTTAAAATTACAAGAAAAAGACGTTAACAATGCGGGAGAACCGGACAATAGTTTCGCCATAAAATGAAAATCCAAAGTAGTGTGTTGAATGTGATGGCTCGATTTTCAACTACTAGGTGGTAGATTCAAGTCACTTTCCATCTAATTCATTTTTAAGGGACTAGTATTATCAATAGCCATCATATAAACAATGTGTTAGAAGATTAAGTGCGTAAATTTGTACTTGGTAAATGGGTACTGTAAACAAATGGTTAATCCTATCCTAAATTTGAACCCAGGGCTTATAGGCCTCACATTAATCGCGTTACCTTTAAACCATTAAGTTAGTATCCAATGATTTGCACTTCCAACGATTTAGTCGATTCGTCAGATGATGCAATCGTCATTTATTCCTTAAAGAGCCGCCCAAAGTCTTCATACGGCCGGAGTGGGGAGTGTTTGAACACAAAAATATTAGTACAAAGCGGCACCGAATACATATGCGCCACACAAGTCACTTGATTTGTGTGAGGGTTGTGATACTGCCTGGGTGCCCGAACCGAAGCAGGTGGTTTTCTTAGGAGACCACACCCAGAGCCTTTGACTTAATGGTCTGATCTACAAGGCAGTGGGGGAACGTTAGGAGATGCAGTCCTATAGTAGCCAGTGACCAACATTGGGTTCGAACGCCATTTGTTCCTTCAGGATACTGGAGCCCATGTGCACCATTGGCTTGGAATCAGGGTTTCCCAACTCATCTAGGTAGATCCCCCGTGTCCTCCAAACCAGTTAAAGAGCCGGATATTCGCTCTTTATCCTATCAATTTCGTCAACAAGACCCGTGGTGCGAGATGGCAGTGATTCGGACTTCTCTGTCAGTGGCTGTCTATGTATGGACATATGAGAGTATTTCTAAAGGAAGAGCTAACTTTCCATACCTTCAGCCGTACCGGGGCACTTGGTGGCCTATTACCAACTATTCATTATCTATCACAAATAAATTAACACTACTCGTCATTTCCTTAAGTAGTATTTTACATTCTCACTGATGAGGTGTCCCACAATAGGATGAAACGGCCATTCAATGCTCCCAGGTTTTCCATAGTGGTCTAGTTTCAATTGACTCATGATCTCAACTATTGAAACTACTATAATATCCAAAAAAAACCTTATTCACTTACATTTTGTTGATCTAAATTCATCTGTTGCTGTGTTGAACCAACTGATACAAATCTTGTTGTTGATATATTTTGATCATGATCAATGACATCATTTGTAGTTTTTGTCTTCTCTCCAATTTCATTTCTATCATTTGGTATAACCAATTGATATGTATTAGGCATATCAATTAACATGGATTGTAAACGTTTATATGTATGAATTAATTGATAATAAATTGTACGTAGTTTACGTTCTTCTAATCTAGACCAATTAGATAATTGTTGTGATGATGAAATAGGAGGTAGTTGAGATATTAACTGACCATTCATACTACTATGATGTTGTTGTTGTTGATGATGATGTGGAGGAAGAGGAGGAGGAGGAGGAGGAGGATGGGTACTATGTTTTGATAAATCAGTAGTTTTAATAATATTTCCTGGTATATCAGATGAATCTGATGAATCTAAATCGGATTCATAAAAAGATGTTGATGTTTTTGTAAATAATGTCCATAATGGTGGAAGATTATCTAATAATGTATTGAATATGAATAAATCTGATTGATTATTTACTTTATTAGTAGTATTGTTTTGAATGATTTCACCATAAGTTTGATAATAATGTCCAAATAATAAAGATGATGTTGAAGAAGATAAGAATAATGATGATGGATTCAATAAATAACCAGATTGTTGTCGTTGGTGTTGTTGAGGATGATGTTGTGATGATATTTCATTGATACTACTACTTCCAGCACCGGAATCTGGAGTTTCCCAACCAAAACCATCACCACTTCCATTTAAACCATTTTCATTTATATTTTGATTTGTATTACCTTGACAATTTGATTTCACAAATGAACGTAATTGAGGATTCATTAATTGTAAATTATTATTTAAACGTACATGATTATATTGTCGTTGATGATAAGTTATTGATGGATTGGAACCAATTGTTGAATTCAATGATATAGAAGGTAATTGATTAGGATTCATTAATGATTGTTGTCCATGTAAATGTTCATTCATTTCATTTGGTAAACATTGTATCGTATTTAATTTGTTTCGATTTAAACTAACATACCATGAATTGGCATAAACACTATTACTATTATTATTGTTATTAGTAGTATTACTATTATCTAATAAACTATTAGATGATGTAATCACAGATTGCATAGAACAAAGACCAGGACTTATAGGTGATTGAGAAGAATGTTGAACATGTTGATAACAATGTAATTGAGATAAATTAGTACTATTTACAGTAGATACATTACCATTAACTGAAGTTGTTGTCATATTGATATTTGTTAAATTAGATAAAGATGTTGGGAGAATTTTTTCATAACCACCATCTGATGTTTCATATTTATCTAATATGGTATAAGCTAGAAATTCAACTTGTTGTCTAAAAAAGATAATTACAAACTACAAATTAAGTTTATAATTGAAAAGATTTAGTAAAGATTAATTTTCAGTTTAGGAGTTGTGGAGATTGTGAAGTTTTTGATTGAGATCATGAATCGATTGAGGTTAGACCACTATTGAAAACCTGGAAGCACTAGGCGGCCGTTTCGTCCTATTGTGGGACTACTCAGCAGTGCGCATCCACGATCCTGCTCGCGGGATTCGAACACATGACCTTCAGTCTTGCGCGTGAACGCTTAACCTACTGGACCACTGAGCCGGTATCCAATGGTGTTAATGTCTAACCTCAACCAATCCACGAAGTTGTGCGACCATCTTCCATTGTACTGAGGTAGACACCCTGTTTCTACCCGACACGAATTAGCTTCACTGGTCACGATAATAATAGGACGAAACGGCCGTCCAGTGCTTCCAGGTTTTCAATGATGGTCTAACATCAATCGGTTTATGATCTCAATCAAAAAGATTATTTTGATTTATAGGTGGTATTTATGGTGAGACTATAATTTATGGACGAGATAATCAGAAGCGTCCAGTATCTGATGCTCATGTACGACTGGTTCACACAGGATTTTGAGACAACATCGGGTTACTAAGATGTTCCTTTATTTTTGATTCTGGTAATTAAATGATGATGTTGTCTTTCGATATAATATGTTTTGGAGGAAGACGCCTGCTAGAATAAGATTTTTTCGCATGATCCAGATTGAGATCAAGTCAAATTATGACAATTGTTCGATAATAAAAGCACCAGTAACACTGGCTGTGGCCGGGTACTACAATATATACGGATGATTTGGAGAGAGTAAAGATGCCTACATAGACTTGGTTATGTGCATCGTGTCGTTATCCATAAGCGGTACTTTTTGAACCCAACAACCGGAGTGCACATAAACAATAGTGAAGTTATGTGGTCGAGGGTGAAAGAGTTTTTGCGACTTTATCATGGCTCCAGAGGTCGACTAATATGTAGCCATATGGATGATTTCCTCTACTGTATTCATTACGATTTTAGAACCTCTGTACCTTTATTCTAACCTTGACAAGTTTTTGAACTATTTAAAAGAAATGTATCCACTTTATTTCTTTGATTTTGTATAATATATTTTTACTCTATACTGACTGTTTGCTGATTGACTAATATTCGTCAAGGTCACTTAAGATTCGTTCAAAGTTCGTTCATAAATTAGAGTCTCGCTGTATTTATCACAGACTGATCTCGTTTGAAATATCACTGAAAGTCAAAAATGCCTGAACAGCTGTTTCATCCTACTATGAGACTCTTAATGAGTAATATGCGATGAAAACACTACCACAGGTCAGATCCTGATTTTTAATAGAAATCAATCTATGATGAATACAATCTATAAAGAAAGATTCAATGTACAATGATTACAAAATTTCCTGAAGTACTGTAAAATTTTGATATGTCTTCTGGATTGAACGCTATTTCTTATATCTGGTCGTCGCTGATTGTTATGTCGGGGACGCTTATCATTTACATTTCAAACGAGGGACCTCTGCAATTCCCATGACGCAAAAGTAAGAACACAAACACTGGTATAAGTGATGATTTATTAATCCCCAAAACATGACAACGACGACGACCCTACTCGAAAATACATTCATTTATAAATTTATATCAACAAACTAATTGATATAACTTCTTTTTTTCATCGTATAAATCAGTTCGTCGAATTCAATCATAATCAAGGTAGATTGTACTATATATGTGTGTTAGCCTAAATTCGCTTACCACATTAAAATAATGAGATGAAATTAACAAGTTCACTAAAACATATCCAGTCATTGATCATTATAATCAATTGGAAGCCAATCAGCTATTTTGTATCTAATAATCATATTCAAAACTCCGTCTGGAGCCCCTCTGAGGCTACAGCCGGTCTCAACCCCGGATAAAGGATGAGGTTTGGGCATGGGGTTAGTGACCGCATCCCGTAGAAAAGCAACTCGCTAAAAAAACGCTAACCAGTAACCATATTCAAACAAATAGTCAATAAATTTATAGACTGATGTCAAGTTTTGGTTTATCAAACCTTAAACTCCTTTTAAGCTACTACTATACCATGTAAACCTGCCTCAACTCAATCGGTAAATCAATATTTTCACGAAATTACAGAATATTTCACTAAAATCTGAGAACCATACAGTAAATACTTCATTTGCAATATGTCAATCAATTGTCTCAAACTTGACTGTTTCTTTTGCAGAATGTTCTTTCGCTTCCACACCAAGCCTTTGTTCTTGTTCTCTTTTCTTTGATCTTCTTAACATTCTACCTCCAAGTATTTCACTTTCGATTAATGGTACACACTACTTATATTTGTCGATATCAGTAGCATGCACCATGCTATATGGATGATCAAGAGAGACTATAATACATTTTAATATCTCTCCCTTATAACAACAGGAGTGAAGGAACTGTAAATTTTGTTGGGCACAACTGATGGATGATGTGCAGATGAGTCAGTCAGTTAGTCAGCTACAACGTGAGACCAGGGACATATATGCATCGGTCCAAGTCGCCATAGAGCATTAGCACAGCAAGATGAACACCGGATTCATAGAAGTGGTTAATTCAATGGTGGTAATATATAAAAGAAAGATTGCATATAAGGATATAATACAGGAGGAAAGAATTAGTACGTAGAAAGAAAGATATGAAGCGATTTTAATCTCTTAGTTTAAGGGAAGACAGAGAGTGTACACACCTACACCATTGTGATCAATTCTGAGTCATGTCACCAAGAGTCTGCAACCATTGGTTACGATAGTTCTGCGGATCTCAATCAAGTAGTTTGTATTTAACAACATGGCTCAGATTAGAAGTTAGTGACTTCAAGCACTGATACCACGTTTTGGTTTGGCTGCTCCTAACTTTCGTCCAACCATTCCCTACACCGGTTAGCTTTGCGCGTTGTGGTAATCGGTGTTCAGGCATACACAACACGTGATCGAACCATCTCAGTTGATGAAGATTCACAATTCCATCAACTACTTTACCATCATTCCCTAATACTCTGCGTCTAACCTCCCTATTACTTAGCCGGTGATCCCAGAAGATGCAAGCAATATTCCTAAGGCATCTATGGTCAAATACTAGTAGCTTATGAGTATCTTCACACTCAATAAATGACGTACTATTTAATGTAAACGTAACTTTAATGAATTACTGAAAAATTAGCGTTGGATGGTGGAAAAATATGACACATTTTTATTACATTAAAATTTGTATAGAACCTATATCACGAATAACATAGATTTAAGTGTGTGCATTTCAATTGCTTTAGATTATTCCATTTATAAACTTATGGTGATTGTACACAATAGATCTGCTTAGTAATGAAAACAGAATTGTATGTCAAACAGTTGCCTACCTCAAGGGGTAATTTTAGCTGGTGTCAGAGTAAGTTAAGAGAAAGCCAGGAGGCTGACAAAATAGAATATGATATCAATACATGAAGTCTATTACTGTTGTTCTGATCCTTATTGATAGGTTTAGGTTATCTGGATGAGATTCACACAATAATCATGACCAATAGTTGTAGACGTTGGGTAATACTTCTTAAAATTAATCTCATTTGCCCTGATCTGTTTTACTGATTGTCTTCCTCTGAATATTGATTTCCGTGGTATTCCTTCTTACATACTTTTCCGCCCATTATTTTCAAACTATACTCTCAATGTTCAGTGTTTCTCACTATCGTTGCTATCGTGATTATTTCAATTTCTTTGCTATTCATCTTTATAATATCGCCTTATCATGCTATTATGGTATGGTCAATTGAGCCAATACACATTTATTCTGGCCTCTAAATTTATTATGACTGGGTGATTAACTTTTCAGATGAATACTAGTTGGAATTTCATTTTCACTCATATATATATATAGTATAGTATGGAACTTCGCCAAGAGCAGAAACACAAACACTTACCTCAATGATTTCAAATTATGCAAATTGAAATGATTCATTGAAAAGATCTGTTGTTGTTGTTGTTGTCCAACTCCAGCAGTTGTATTATTGGTAGTATTGGTTGCATTATTTAATAAATCATGTTCTTCCGAAGAACCAATTGAAGAATACAATTGATATGGTGATGTGGTAACAGAAATCTGTTGTGAATTATTATATCTTTTCAATTGTTGATGATGTTGTGATTGATGTAATTGAGATGATTTACTATGACCATGAAATGATGAAGATGATGTAGACGATGATATTGTTGAGAATGGATGCTTTAACATTTGATTATTTTGTGATTGACGGAATATAGTGACAGCTAATTCCGTGGAATATAACTATATCAAATAATAATAAGTAAACAACACAAACAGATTTATTTTTGGTTCAAAAGAAAAGTAAAGATTCGTAAATAACCATATTATTAGTGGTCTGAAGGTTAATCATCTACCATAGAGTGTGAAAATCCTGAGTCCGACTACTGATGAGGTCATGGATAACGACATTTGAAGAATCCCATACAAGGACAAGAAGGTTGTACAAAAGCTTTCTGATTTTCAAAGACTGTTTAACTATTGTAAATCTATAATATATCGTATTATTAATAAAAAGTTATATTCCAAAAATAACCAGGTCACTTTGACCCCATCTCTAAACATTCGCTCAATGTTCGATTTATTATTTATTTATTTATTTAAACACATAGATATTGGTACAAAGAGGCACCAAATACATATACGCCACACAAGTCATTTGATTTGTGTGTGGGCTATTATACTGCCCGGGTACCCAAACTGGAGAAGGTGGTTTTCTTGGGGGGCCACACCCCAAGCCTTCAACCTAAAGATCTAATCCACAAGACAGTGAAGCATTTATCAGGAGATGCAGTCCCATGATAGCCGGTGACCAACATTAGGTCCATAAGCCATTTGTTTCCTTAGGATCCTGAAGCACATGTTCACCATTGGTTTGAAATCAGAGTTTTCCAACTTGCCCAGGTGGATCCTCCGTATCCACCAACCCAGTTTAAGCGCCGAGCATTTGCTTTTCGTTTTCTCAATCTCGTAAACAACACCGGTGGTGAGAGAAGGCAATGAGTAGGACTTCCTTGTCGGTGGTTATATGCACTCGGCCATGTGAGAGCATATGGAGAGGGAGAGCTGACTCTCCTCATTCTCGGCCGTACCAAACCATTAGAGGACCATCAATGTTCGATAATTTTCAAGTTATGAAGGCTAAAAGATACCTGTATATGTTGAAATTCATGTTTATTTATGTGTACTTGTGGTTAAAGTATCATCACTAAGCTGATGATTTATTTAATTATTTCTTTTTCCAGTTTAGTTGGCTTATGGAAATCGTTGAATTTTGTAAGATTGAATTACTGACTGTCTGTAGTCAGACAATCAGCATGCTTGGTTACAAGCAACTGATTTTGTGAGATTACTATCAGAATTCCAGTGAGAAGCCATGACTACAAGTGGTCAAACATGTCAGATGTTGGACAAATATCGTCAATGTCCATGAATAAAGAAGGCATAATGCTGCAAAGTTAATAATGCAAACTACTGGATGAAAACTCGGTAATCTAAGGGTCGAATACTCACTACTAGTCGTGATAGCCTAAATTTCAATCCCTGGTAGGGTCATGAATGAGCTCTATTGAAAAACAATGTAATTCTATACGCGTATGTAATTATACATTAGAACATCCTTTCATCAGAAACTGAATTCAACTATAGAATGGTTCAAAAAACAAATAGTTATGAAGTGCCAAGTTATGACACTTCACTAAGGAATCAAATTTAGAACTTTTATTATGTTTCGGTGCAAATACTGTTTCTCTCAATTAATATTAAACTGGAATCTGGGATTGTTCGCAGGGTTTTTTCAATATTGAACAATTTATGACATAGAACCTTCATCGTATATTATCATTAGTGAGCATTTACTTTACCTTCTAATTCATTGATTTCATCACATCCATCAGATATGAGAGACGGTCCGGATTCATAAACTAAGATATACTTTTCATAAAAAGCCATTTTACGAGCTACTAACCTAAAGGTTTAGTTTGAAAATTAAGACAGTAACTTCACAAAGTACAGTTGTAAGTTTTACGAAAGATTCTTATGGCATTTGTTCTTTATGGATATTGAATCAGTGGCTTGAAATTAAGATTTTCCAATTCTCGTCAGTGAACTCTTTATATCTAAGAACCTAGTTGAATCACTAGATGTCTACTTTCGCTTCCTAACACTTGTAGATAAAAAACAACATATAAGAACAGTGAATGAAAAGGACTTCCCCTAGAATGAGCTATAATTTTAGGGTTGTATGAATGTATTTTCAAAAGGGAGACAAAACTCTCTTCATCATAAGTAGATTAACTTGTAAATTCATCGACAAATATAATTCATCGGTAAACAATAAATAATAAAACTCTTTAAAACTAATTCATTCATAAATACAGCCCCTTGGTGGGGAGAGTCCGCTCTCCCTCTCCAAATGCTCTCACATGGACACGCGTATATAGCCTCTGACAGGGAAGTCCTACTCACTGCACTCTCGCACTCTAGGTGTTGTTTACGAAATTGAGAGTACGAAAAGCAAATGTCCGTCGGGCGCTTTAACCGGATTGGTGGACATAGAGAGTTCATCTAGGGGTGTTGGAAAACCCAGATTCCAAACCAATGGTGCACATGGACTCCAGCATTGAGTCCTAGGGTAGAACTAGCTCTCTTAGACTGGATCCCAGTAGACAGTCGTTTGTGCACTGTCCGACTAAACGCGACAATAAGGACTCGGAAAGATAGGGACACTCGTCGTTGCCTCTTCGTCGTCTCTGCCTATTCTCCCACTGACTGCAGTGCAGATGATGTAAAAGATGAGTTTTACAAAAAGCTTTCCGACCTTCTACGAAAAGCTAGGCGCTCTGATGTAGTAATAGTGGCCGGTAACTTTAATGCTCAAGTAGGTAAACTAAGCGAAAGAGAAAGACACCTAGGTGGATCTTATAGTGTCGTGGCTCAAAGAACAGATAATGGTGACCGTCTGTTGCAGCTAGGCTCAAATAACCGCCTGTTCCTTACAAATACTAACTTTAAGCATAAGGAAAAACATCTTTTAACATGGGGACCCCCTAATTCGTCCCAACATTGGACACAAATAGATCACATCCTGAGGAGACAAACGACGTATAAACCAATCGTTGGTCACCGGTTACCATGGGACTGCATCTCCTTACGATGCTCCACTACCTTGTGGATCGAAGGCTCCAGATGTGGCCCTCTAAGAAAACCAGCTGCTTAGGTTTGAGCACCCAGGCAGTATATGTATTTATTGCCTTCTTGTACCAATATCAATGTGTTCAAATAAAATAAACAAAATAAAATTCATATATATATATATATATATATATATATATATATATATATATTTACCTGATTTAAACAATCACTAATTTCTAATGCAGATTCAGATATTTGTATAGCTCGTTTCATAATTGAATAATTTGATTCAATTTGATTTAATTGACATTGCATTTGATCAGCATTTAATTTAATTTCAGTTAAATTAGCTTGTAATACTAAACAATCAGTTTGATAACGTACTAATCTAGTTAATAAACGATATAATGTTAATTGAGCACATTTAGCTATATCCGATAAACGTGTATATGGAGTGAAATTAGCTAAACTAATTAAAAATAACATTAATGTATTTGGTGTAAATTGAATAGGTAAATTCATTGAATCTGTACATAATTCTTCATAATCGAATTGATCAAATAAAAATTGTTCAAAATCAAATGGTAATATTCCTGTTATATTAGTACAATAGTTAAGATTATTGGCACCATGATTGGTACTGGTACCGGTACCGGTACCAGTACCGCCAACACCATCATTAGTACCATTTGTTGTTGTTGTTGTTGTAGTTGTTGTAGGTGAATATAACTCATTACCAAATAAACTACATGGAATATTTTGTTTATTATGAGTTATATTATATTCATAATATTGTTTCAATAGTTTTGTAATCCATTCTGGTTCAGGTAAATCATAAACATTCGAATTTATTTGTGTTGTCATTGTTGTATTTGTTGTGAATGTTGCTATTGATGATTTTGTTGTTGTTGTTGTTGTTGTTGTTGTACTAGTTACTTGGTTATAATTTAAATGTTCAGATGAAATAGTCTAAAAGAATAAAATAGTCAATTGAAATCAAAATAAAAAAGGTTAGATCATTGAAGCTATGTGAATAATATGTTATATAAACGTTAAAAACCATAGGTCTAAATGAATAAGTATTCTTTATATTAGCAAGGGGTTTTGTGGATATTATAGTAATTTTAATAGTTGAATTCATGAGTTATTTGAAGCTAGACCATCATGGAAAACTTGGAAGCAATGAATGGCAGTTTCATCCTATTGTGGGACTCCACGGCAGTGTGCATCCACGTTTCCGCCTCGCGAGATTCCAACCCAAGATCTATCGGTCTCAAGCGCGAACTCTTAGCCTCTAGACTACTGAACTTGACGGTATCCAACAGTGTTAATGTTTAACTTCAACTAATCCACGAAATTGAGTGACAAATTCACCATTGTCTTCAGTAAGTTACTATTTCATAACACAGCCGGTTGAACTCCACTGGTCACTGCTTCTCACTAGAACTCCAGGAAATAACTCATGAAGCCAGTCGCTAGTAAGCATATGTTGATTAGTATCCTGATCCTGGGTTTGAATCTCGCGAGGCAGGATTATGGATGAGCACTGCTGATGAGTCCCATAATAGAACGAAACCGCCGTCCAGTACTTCCAGGTTTTCGATGGTGGTCTAACTTCAATTGACTCATGATCACAACTATTAAAATTGTTCCTTATATGGTTGGTAAGAATTAAGTCTGATATGTGGAATTTTAATTTCATCAATTAGCAAGTAAATGACCTATAAACTACTGTATCTTACAATAGTTTTTTATGCTTAAAATCACGTTTAATCATGTTTACTTTTACGTTTTTTCTGTTTTTTTGTTATATACATAAGCTTACTATAAAATAATAAACTCATCCATTGATGATTACTGAGTAGTGACCAATTTCACATTACTCCTTTAATGTTGTTCGAATTCGATCGATCAAGTTTGCAATGTGACCACCAATCTATATAACTCAACAAGGGATCTATTATGTTTTGTTTTTAGGCTAAGTGGGAACTTTAGACACTTCTACTAAGATAATTCAGACAGAATAGCTTGTGAGAAAGATTAGTACTAATAATGTGTCTTCTTCAGGATACAGACGCATTTAGTTGATGAGTGTTAAATAGAGTGAAACATGTATCCTGGATTTCCCTGCTAACCACATACCAAATATTCTGTCAGTTTGAACTAAGGAGTATGAAGAGGCCATCCATTTGGAATGCATTTACAACAACATACATTGATCACTTGAATATTAACAATGGGAAATTACAAAATCACCAGCCTTTGTTGTCTGATCTGTAACGAATTCTCAGCACGGATACAGAAGGCTCAACTAGCTTTTGCCAACTTGCTTCTTTTATGGCGTAGGCGAAATAGACGTCTACCAACCAAAGGACGGGTTTACTGCGCAGCAGTTCGTTCCGTCCTACTTTATGGCAGTGAAACATGACCGGTAAGAGTAGAGGATATTCATAGGTTACTAGTATTCGAACATAGGTGTCTTCAAAACATTGCCCGTATATCCTGGGACCACCGAGTAAGTAATACAGTTGTTAAGAAACAAGTATTAGGTAAGGATGGCAAATCAATTGATGTAGTAGTGAGACTACATAGGCTGCGATGTCTGGGACTTGTGTTACGTATCCCTAACTACCGACTGCCTCGACGTGCGATATTTTCTGGTGAAGGAGTAGGTTGGAAGAAAGCTAGCGGCGGCCAGACCAAAATATGGCACAAACCCATGAAGTCACTGACAAGTGGACTGAGTCATGTTGGTAGGTGTAGACTGCCTGGTTGAGATCCGCGAGATGATAGCAACCGATGGTTAAAGACCATGATTGATATGATTCAAAATTGTTTGCAATAGTGTGCACGGGTGCATCCACTCTTTGTGTTCTCCCAAATTCTAATCTTCTGAATTCTTCGTATCCTTTTTTTTCTCTTTCCAAATTTATTTCACTAGATTATACTCCTTGAATAACATTTCCAAATCCTAATGTTTCCGATTACTGCTTATACTCTTACTACCTCTACCACTATGGGATTTGAATCGACGATTGTATCACTGTGCCAATATGGTATGGCAACTTGAACTGATGGATGCACGTACGAAGCTCTACGTTGTTGTTTACTGACAGACAAACTCATATTAATCTTGTATTGTTTATGTATAAAACTTTTTTCTTATATTAAGATAAAGAAGAAAAGCATAGGATATGGTTTTAAAAAAATCTTGTTTAGACGATGTAAACTGATTGACATAATATTAAGAAGAAAAAAAGAATTCCTACTGTGTAGATAGTTAACTAGCTGGGTAGATGAAAGGTTTTTTAAAAAGTAAAATAAAATAAAAACAAAAAAAAACTGTACAAACTTTTTAAAATTAAAGACATGGTTAAGAATGTAAGTTATTGACTAGGTGAATTCTAACAACTTGTTCGTCACAGAGTATATTTGCTAGATAAGGTATTATAGAACTTTTATACTTTTCCTTGCGTGCATGGATTTTAATGTAATTACGTCTCGTTCTACCAGAAGATATACAAGGAGAAAGATAAGAGTGAAGGGGATGGCTAGTATCTGATAAAATGACACCTGCCAGGAGTTTGCATGATTTTAAATGTCTATCCACAACCATATTAATTATGACCTCGAAAGATTCACCACACATCTTGCTAACTGCCTTCAGCACTCTTCGCAATACAGCAAAGTCTTTTCTCAAAAGCCCGGGAAAGAATAATGGAGAACAGTAAAGAATAATAGGTAATATGCAAGAATTGACAAATTGTAAGAGTAAATGACGAGTAATTCCAAGAGCATGCAATCTCTTTATGTAGTAGGTCAGACGGAAAATCTTCTTCGATAACGATAAAACGTGGGAAGACCAAGACAGATCAGAGGAAAAGGTGACACCAAGATAATTGACCTTCGACACTGAGTTTATCAAAGAGTCTCCGATGGTACAAGCACTATGGGATCTCAAAATGGTGTTTAGATTCCGTTCATGTCTCATGCTAAAGTTAACAGCTTGACATTTAGACGGATTAAGTATGAGACCATTACCAACAGACCAACAATCAATACGAGACAAAAACTCATTCATTTCTATGGGATGTAAAGAGGAAGATATAGGCATACATACAGTGAGATCATCCGCATACTTCACAAAAGTGTTTTCTGTGGAAGATGGCAGGTCATGCAGTAAAAAGGAGAATAGAAGAGGTGAAAGAACAGCTCCTTGTGGTACACCTTCATGAGACAGTAGAGACTCTGAACTTTTTCCTCCAAACACAGTGTACTGTTCCCTTCCAGAGAGGTAGGAACATAACCAGTTGGTTATCCAGCTGTCAGTGTTGACGCTGATTAACTTGTTAAGTAAACGTTGTCTTCGTATAGAGTCAAAAGCTGAAGTATAGTCCAGAAAAGCACATCGAACATACTTCTTACCCTTTTCTAAGTTGAACACTATGTTAAACAGATTACACATCATCACTTTCATTGTTCAAAATAATACTTGTGGAACTTTACAGAATATAACAGTTTTTTCAAATGCTCTAGTGCAGCTGAGGATGGGGAGAATCAGATCCACCCTCTCCAAATGCTTTCACATAGCCACGTGCATACAACCACTGACAGGGAAGTCCTACTCACTGCCATCTCGCACCGCCGGTATTTTTTACGAAATTCAGAGAACGAAAAGGGAATGTCCGGTGCTTAAACTGGGTTGGTTTTTACGGAGGATCCACCTATGGGAATTGGAAAACTATGATTCCAACCCAATGGTGAACATATGCTCCAGAATCCTGAGGGAACAAATGGCGTGTGAACCTATTGTTGGTCACCGACTAACATGGGACTGCATCTCCTGACGTTGCTACACTGATTGATTGATTTGCTGTGTAATTTCAGCTAGGTATACTACTATTTCTTAAAGTTAACATTATGAAGTGATCTTAGTTTACACAACCATTGAAAATCAGGAAGTGCCGGACAGATTTTTTGTCTCGGTATGGGACTCCTCAAGATTGAGCATCTATGATACCATAGAGCATCGAGACCATGACATACAGGTCTTTAGACCATTAAACCGGGATTCAATGATATTTATGTTGAACTTCAACAAATTCTTGATATTGTGCAATTATCTTCAGTTGTGTGTGAGGGATGATTATCTCACATCTTGCATAGTTAAGCTCCAATAGTCACAGTCTTTCACTAGAACCCCTAGAATCTCATTTTGAAGTTAGTCAATAATAAATACAGAATCATTACTAGTAAACAGATTTCGTGGAGATTGTTGAGTTTGCATCGATTTCACCACACAATAATCTTAGTTAGACAATTAATTCGATTATTGAATGGAACCAGTATCAATTCAATCCACTGGTTATAAAATGATATACTATGTCATTTATTCAATTCAATTGTAATCCACCACTATTTTCTTAAATTTATATTCTCGGTTGAATTCACGAGTTGATCTAAGCTAGACCATCATTGAAAACTTCGAAGAACTAGACAGTCGTTTCGCCCCCAATATAGGACTCCTCAACAGTGCGCATCCACGATCCCACACCAAAAGGAATCGAACCCAGGACCTTTGGTTTCGCGCACGAACGCTTAACTTCTGAACCATTGATCCAGTATTCAACGGTATTAATGTTTATCTTTAATTGATCCATGATCTCGCACAAACCTTTATTTATTGTTTGATATGGATAACTGTTTAAATACTACAATCTTCACAAATGTTTCTATCTAATTAATAAACATAAACTTATAATGAAAGTTGATCATATAAACTTAATCACTATGTCAAACCCGATAAGAAATCAACTCTTAAATTTAAATAGAACTAGTTCATTCAAACTTATCATATAACATAGAGAAGAGAAAAAAAAAGTTTCTATGGTGATCAAATCTGGAACGTTACACTTCGGTAAACGATAAATCATATAGAGTACATAATGTAATTTGATATCATGTTCATG